ATTTATGTTACTGTGCACAATGATCTCCTGGTTATTCTCACTTCACTTTGTATCAGATCAGATAGGTTTGGCCATTTTTTTTCCTTTTTTCTGAAACCAAGTAAAAAAGGGCAGGGGTAGCAGTCATAATTTCAGACAAAGTAAAAACAAAAATAGATCTAATTAAAAGAAATAATCAGAGAAACTACATTTTGCCAAACGGTACCAGCACATTTCTCTGATAAAGGCCACATTTCTCAAATATATAGGGAATGGAGTTAAATTTATAAAAAAATAAGAATCATTCTCCACTTGATAGATGGTCAAGGGATATGAGCAGGCAGTTTTAAGAAAAAGAAATCAAAGCTATCTATAGTCATGAAAAAAATGCCCTACATCACTATTGATTAGAGAAATGCAAATTAAAACAGCTGTGAGGAACCACGTCACACCTATCAGAAATGACAAATGCTGGAGGGGATAAGAGAAAATAGGTACGCTAAAAAACTGTTGGAGTTGTGGAATGGTCCAACCATTCTGGAGAGCAATTTGAAACTGGCCAAGGGACTATAAAACTGTGCATATCCTTTGACCCAGCAATAGCACTTCTAGTTCTGTACCCCAGAGGATCAAGGAAAAAAGAAAAGAATTTATACGTACAAAAATATAGCAGCTCTTTTTGTCGTGGCAAAGAAATGGAAATTGAGGAGATGCTCATCAGTTGGGGAATGGCTGAATAAGTTGTGGCATATAATTGGGATGGAGCACAATCATGCCATAAGAAACGACCGGGGGGGGGGGGTTCAGAAAAAAAAAAAACCACACACATGGCAAACCCTATATGAACTGATGCAGAGTGAAGTGAAAAGAACGGGGAAATCATTGTTCACAGTAATAGCAGTGTTATCATGATGATCACCTGTGAAAGATTTGGCTGTTCTGATCAATACAGTGATCCAAGACGATTCCATGGGACTCACGATGAAAAAATACTGCTATCCATTTCCAGAGGGAGAACTGATAAACCTTTGAGTGCAAAGTGAAGTATACTTTTTTCACTTTTTTTGTGATATGGCAAATATATAAATGTTTTGCATGATTTCACATGTATAATTAATATCATTTTGTTTGCTTTCTCAGGGGAGATAACTTTGAACTCAATTTTTAAAGAAAAGAATGTTAAAACAAATAATTTTTAAAAAAAATACTACACAATGTCTTACATTTTTGCCTAGACATATTCAGTTCAGGAAGAGTCAAGCAGAAAGCCAGCTGCACCCTTAGAATGAAATTGTTTAACCTTTTTCTGTTCCTAAGGATCCCCTTTGGCAGCTACAATAATGAAGGACAGATTAGCGGCTTAACTGTCTTCCCTGCTCTTCTTTGACAGCTCTTTTCCCACTTTTCTCTGGCGGCCTCTAATCCATCTTCTGTCCCTCCGCTTGAATAGAATTGTACTTCACCTTAGTCATTTCACATCTGTGTGGCTTTATGTTGCCCATCCAATCCAGTTGAGAGTCTCTGACCTCACCCAAGCCCAGTCTCAGTTACCTTGTCTCAGGGTTTTCTCCCCACACACTGGAGCCAAATGAGCCTGCTGATTTCCCCTAAATGAACCTTGGGCCTGCCTTCTCTGCCTCCTTGCCTTTGCAACCCTTTCTCCTCTTCATGTGATGATTTCTTAACAATTAAAAGAACAAAACAAAACAATTCTTCTGACCTCTTGGCCTGTGAACCTTCCCATGTATCCCACAGAACTTGGCACTGATTAAGTATTTAATAAATGCTCAATGACTGACAGGTCAGTAATGACCTATTTGAGAGACTGAAAATTTGAGAACAAGATGGGGATGATTGAGGGTAGCAGTCAGCTGGAAAAATGTAAGGGAAGGTGTCAAGGGCACCTTATTGAGGGGTTGATCTTAGGAAAGAGAAGGGTCACCTTTGTCAGAGGAAGAGGTAAGAGTGGAAGATGAATTCAGAGGGTTTTGAGATGAAGAGAATGAGAAAAGAAGATCCCATTGGATGGCCTCCATTTTTTCCCCCTAGAATAAGAATTGAGGTCCTCAGCTGAGGGAGAGGTGTAGGGGAAAGGAGGCTTGGGGAGGGAAGAGGAGGGTTGGAGCAGTGTCTGAGGGGAGTGAGCGAGGGAATCAGGAGGAAGGAATGAAAGGACTATCTTATTGCAGTAATGACCCAGTTGAGGTTGGAGGACATGAATTTGTAATGTACCCAATTAGAATTCTTGTAAGATTTTGTCCTACATCACTCTGCAGTATGAATGGGTGGATGGGGGGGGGTTGTCATTCAGAGGAGAAGGGATCCTTCTCCTGGCAAGGGATCGGGGTGGAGAGGTCAAGGGGGCAGGGGATTCCATAAGACATTGTAGAGTTGAAGTAGCTAACAGGTTGAAATTGGAGAGAAAGAGAGACATAAGGAGAGTCAGAGCAAGGGTAAATGGCCTGAGAAAGACTGGGGGAAGGAGGGACTGGATGTCCCTGAGGCTGGTGAAGCTTATGGAAAAGTGGAACCATAGGAGATTCTGGTTCTATGAGAGAATGCCAGAGGTTTTATTTAGGATGTGGATTTCTCATGTGTGACCGTCCCTATGTGTTGCTGAAGTGGAATGAAGGAGTGAGTCCTGGGATTTGAGGAGGTTAAAGCATTGTGAAGTTAGGGAATTTGGAAGAGAGTTATGTGAATAGTAAAGCATCCTAGTATATAAGGGAAGGAGTTGGAGGGGAGAATGTAGTGAGTCAGGCACTGAACTCCCTTGGGAAAGGAGGGAGTATAACATGGGAGTTAGTATACTGTATATAGCTCCCCTAATTTGGATTGGGTGAAAATTTTTTTAGCAAGTAGAAATCAAAGGAAAAAAGCGAAGACATGAAAGGAGAGTCTTGGAGTGACATTGGGGAGCAGAGAGCATTCTGACTATGGACACTGCTTTGATAATTCATGTTAATCAAGGTTTCAGCTGGGGAAATGAGATGTATGCTTGCCGCAGATATTTACTGTGGTCATGGTGGAAGTCCAGGGAACATGGCAAGGGGAAAAGAGATTTTCTGTAGATGGTGCAGTCATCGAGATGCACCTCTTTACGGCTGACGTGCTGATTGTCTCAAAGCCCAGAACATTGTAGAACATCTTGGAGGCTATCCACTATATCCGCTCAAAAAGGTTTGACTTAAACTCACGTGGAAGAAAATGGCTGTTATCCATGTAGTGACATGAAGTTAAATGAGAAATGTATAGAGCTTATTATTCAGTCTGTGTATGTATGCATGCATATATGCATCCATTCATCCATCCATCCATCCATCCATCCATCCATCCATCCATATATCTATCTCTTTGTCTGTCTGTCTGTCTGTCTGTCTATCTATCTGTCTGTCTGTCTGTCTCTCAGATAGACACTGTAGATGAATGGTTGTGCCTGTCATTAAAGAGGAGAAGAGTGGACTAAATTACCTATGGGAAGTTTGGTGATGGCAGGGTCAGTGGAGTGATGAGATCAGAAATCAGGACCTCACCTTGAGGGGATGTGGGATGTTTGTTTGCAGCAGACCTTCTGGGGTTAGAGGATCAAGCATCAATTAATGAAGAGTCAGAGCATTGCTTAGCTTCCAGGAGGCCCAGGTGAGGTTCAGTAATGAAATGTGCCCACACTCAGCCCAGTTGTGTGACTTCTTCCAAACTCATTCATCAGCATCACTGATTGGTTTTAGAAAGTGTCAGGCCTGTGACTTTTCGTTTTCTCAAGAAGACATTTTACAAAGACTTTATTTATAACTGCATGATTTGCAAATTTCACATATACTTTTCTCCAGTTTTCCTGTGCTGCTTAGGAAGGTTGAATTTAGAACTGGATGCCAAGTACTTAGGAAAATGGCTAATGAAATTACTGACACATCCTTGGTTTGGGAGTTGTGGAAAGGTGACTCCAATCATTGAGTCTCACAGGCCTTTGCTTTTGCTTATGTCTTTGCTTTTATTTATTCAGAAAAAATCTGCAGACACAGCATAGAATTAAGTTGAGAAAGCCATTGCACTCCAGGATGAGAGCTTTGGCTAAAGCCCTTAAAGTGAAAAACCAAAGCAGCAGGATGAATCCTCGAGCAGGCCCCTAAGAAACTAGCCTTTCCCCATTGGCTTCTGGTAAAACATATCTATCAGTAACTCAGTGGTGAAGGAAGCTGAATATGAACAAAGAAGGGTATTATCTATCTCATCCTTCCAGCCTTGCAGGACTTGGGTTTCTAACTGTGTGGACCTTTGTCTTCCTGGTACCTGTCTCCAGCCCACTGAGCTTTAGGCAATGGACCAATTTATCTCTGTAGGTTATCTCTGGCAAGGCTGGTTCCCAGACTTTTCTGGAGCCCTTCTAGCCTCATCCACTGTTCCTTAGAGAGGCAGGAGTTTTAAGTAATAATAATAATAATAAATGAGGATAGGTCTGAAGTAATCAGTGTCAGGTGTATGCCAATTACATTAGTCTTGTTTTGAGCTATAGAATACGCCATCACTGGGTAAAATTGAGTGTAATTGAAGAAAGATTACATTCCCGAACAATGTTCTAGAATTGTTGCTGATAAGAACAAATTGTCCTAAAAATGACCACAGATCTGTGCTATTTTATTCAATAGGTCATATTCAGTAGGTCAATAGGCCAGGCACTGTGCAAAGTACTGGAGATGCAAAGAACCCCCCCCCACCACCAAATATAACCCACAGTATTGTTTCCAGTTAATTTCTTTATTCTTGAAAGGCTCTTTATTAATTATAATTTTATTATATTGTGGTGAGAAAAAGATGCATTTAATATTTTTGCCTTTTTTGCGTTTATTTGTGAGGTTTTTATGCCTTAATATATGGTAGATTTTTGTGAAAGTGCCATCCGTGTCTGGAAATAAGTATACTTCTTTCTCTTCCCATTCAGTATTCTTCAGAGGTTTGTCATAGCTAACTTTTCTGAAATTCTATTCATTTCCTTAATGTCCTTATTTATTTCATGGGTAGATGAAAATATTGAATGCTTCAAGAATTTACTGTCATCCTTGTGCAGGAGCCATGCTTATCTCTGTATGTTCCAATTTTAATATATATGCTGCTGAAGGGAGCACTCATTGATTTATTTCATTCATGCCTAGCTATTTACACATCTCTCCCAGCAGACTGTGCACTCTATGAGGGCAGGAACAGTGTTTGTGCCTCTCTTTGTATCCCCAGCACTTAGCACAATGCCTCGCACACAACAGGCGCTTAATAATTGCTTGTTGACTGAATGAGTGACTGAATCACTAACTTACCAAAAGTGGACTTTAGCTCTCTGGAGGTGATTTGAGCATTTTCTGTTAGCTTTATTTTACTTGAGGGTGGGCCCTTCCCCTTCCTCCCCCCCCCCCAATATTGCTTGACATTAAAAAAGGTAGTTACAATGTATATATATAATTTCAGCATCTAACGTATTGTATTATGGTAATATTATCATCAAACTAGTTTTTACAATACATTTATATGAATGATTTTTTTTCTATGTTATTTAGATCCTCCACATAGTGAGAAATCTTTGTGTCCTGAGTCCAGGCTTTGTTAGCCTGGAACACTGTTATCTGTGTAATTGGATGTAATTTCTCAGAATGAGTGAACGTTGATGTTGGATCGATGCTGATGGCACAAGCGTCCTGAAGGTGTTCTTGGAGGTTGACCTGGTTTCTGATTTTGACTTTCAGGTCATTCACTGAAAGCACGTGGCAAAGCCTGGCTTCTTGCCCTTTCTAGAGTTCTTGCATCGTTTGTCAAAATGCAGGTGTGATCTTGACTTCAGAGTAATTAGAGTTCCCCCAGTTTGACAGAAAAATGAAAATATTTAAATTATGTTGTTATTAATAAATAGGATTTGATTGTGTGGTATGCCCCATGTCAAGAACTCTTAATTTTCTTGAGGGATTTTCTGATAAGGGCATTCACCCTGGCTGCCAAGATCACAAAGTTGGTTCCCAGATCTCTCCAGGAGGGTCACCAGCGTCTTGGGTATCGATGATCCTACCACTAACTCCATCCCCCTGGAGGCCCGCATCATCCCTTGGGAATCCCTCCCCAGCTTGAACTTTGCCCTGGGTCACGCTGATGGTACAGATACTTTGACTGAGCATACGTCTCCCTGTTCATAGGCCTCTCCTGAGCTTGATTGTCATTGAGCAGGGTGTTTCCACTGTCCCATCTCTCAGGGAATCCTGAATGACCTTGAATTGTGTGGAGGGCAGCCATTTCACCTTAAGACAGGCTGTAAGTAAGGCAGCATTTTGTTCTTCTCTTGAAATCAGCCTAGCCTGCATGAGGCATGCCTGCTGGAACACTCAGTTTTCTCATCTGTGAGATGGAAAGGACATTGTGTGGTTGTTGCACGGTGGTCCCGTCTACTGCCGGTGCCCTCCGCTGGTGCAGAGGTGGCCCTCCTCCAGACCCTGGAGAGCAGGGGAGCAATCCCTTAACCTGGGAGCAGTACAGGTTGGGCCCTTGTCCACGTGGGCCTTTGGTCTCCTTCCTTCCCTGAGGTACCTGGGAAATCTCTTGCTCTTCATCTTCACCATGGAAGAACTCCCCTCCCGCTCCATTTGCTCCTCCCTGTGTGCACCAGGGCCAGTGCCGTGGTTCTGCCTCCTGCGGGGGGCACCTCTCTTGTGTTTTCCGTCTGCTGAGAGGTCCCTTTTCGCCTTGGACCTTGTGTGTCCTTGGGATGACTTGTCTCATTCATGTCTTTCGCCAAGTTGCCTTGAGCTTGGTTTCACCCTCTGGGTGGTGGCCGCTTCTGTCTGCTCTGTGAGTTGAGGTTGCTCAGACTTATCTGTCATTCTTCCACAAGTTTATCTTTTAATCTTGTGTTGCCTTTGGCCACAGTGAGTCAGATGCCTGGAAATGAGTCATGGTGCGTCACAACCTGGCTGATTAGAGTCTCGGGATAGGGGCCGACCGGACCTTTGATTGTGTTGTTCTAAGAAGCTCTCCCCACCAGTGCAGACAGGCAGCAGCTTCTATGCACGTTCTAGTTGAAGAGAGTGACCTGGAACACCTGAGAGGGTCCAGGGCCCCACGGCCAGGAGGTGTCAGAAGCCATATGTAGCCCAGGTCTTCCTGGCTCCCAGCCTGATTATTAGGAGTCACTACCAATAGCCTGTAACTTCAGTCAGTGCTTCTATTCTGTCCCTGTTTGAATGGTCTCTGGCTTAAGCCAGTTTTGTAATTTGTCTTATACTGGCTCAGACTTAGAATAACCACAATATCTGAATACTTAAACCACAACTCAAATGAAGTTGATTCTCTGTGTGTGTGCACATCTGTACTTGATTAAAAAAAAATAAGTGTATTGAGGGCACATCTTCTTCAGGTGCTTCCTTCGGTTATGGAGGCTTCTCAGAGCCTCATGGCCTTAGGGTGTCAGGCTGGTCCTAGCCAGATGGCTGGGCCCAGCAAGGCTGTGGCAAGGGGCCGGTGCATCTGTGGTCTTAGGACAGCCCCAGGAAAATTCCGAGAGGCTGATTTTGGGGTAGCTAGTACGGCGAAGAAGGTTTTAGCCATGGCCACCCTGCGGGATCATCCTGTGAGTCACAGAGGGTCACAGTGGGACCCCCTCAGTTGAGCTGCACCCACCAGTCCACTCCCAGATCCCTGAAGTATTCAGGGAGGAATTGTGTGCTCTTTCTCATAGAATCCTCATTGTAGCCAACCTGTCCTGGGCCTCCTGGTGTCCCCAGCTCCTGTGGGTCTTTTATCAATCAGACAATCAAGTATTTATCAAGCACTCGACATGTGTCAGGCACTGTGTTCATCAGTAGAAGGAACACAAAGCGAGGCCCGAACAGCCCTGCCCTCCAGGAGCTCCCAGCTCACACATCAGCCAATAGATCACCACAGAGTGGTGACCAAGTGATCTGAGGGGATCGCTTTGGGAGTTGGGAGCTGGGGCCCTGTCAGTGCAGGGCAGGCGAAGGCCCTTGGAAGCAGACAGCACTTAGGCTGAACCTTGATGGGAGCTAGGACTTCTGAGAGGCAGAGAAGAGGGAGAAGAATGGTGTAGGCTTGGGGCCGACTGCCTGGGCAGAGGCATGGAGATTGGAGACGGCGTGTGGGCTGTGAGAAGAGCGTGTCAGCCGGGGTAACCAGAAGGAGAATGGTGTGCTTTGGAAAAGGAGTCTGGAGGCAGAAGGCCGAGTGCTTTAAATGTGATGTAGACAAGTTGGTATTTTATTTTGGAGGGATTGAGTGACACGGTCACTCAAACATGGTCAGCACTGGGCACCGGGAACATCGCTGGCAGCTGGCGGGTGGCTTGGCTGGGCCAGACATCCGGCGAGAGGGGGCTCATTATATTACGACGTTTCTTAGAGTCAAATCCCTGCATTTGATTTCAGAACCTTTTGGCTGAAAAAGTGGAACAGCTAATGGACTGGAGCGTGAGGCGCTCAGTTATCCGAATGAATGGGGACAAGTTCCGGAGATTTGTGAAGGCACCCCCCCGGAACTACTCGGTCGTGGTGATGTTTACCGCCCTGCAGCCCCAGAGGCAATGCTCCGTGTGCAGGTAATGTTTTCCATTTCCTTGGAAGATTGCTTATTGTTGATCAAAATTCTTACACTGAGCCACTCCGGGGAAAGAAGGTGGAATGTTCTGAAATCATTTCCAAGGGAGATAGAGGCATGCAACTCTCTTGAATTCAGTAGATAACTGTCATGATTCCATTAAATTAAATATTTGAGGAGTGTCAGACAGCAGGTCATGGTATGCATCAGATAGAAATGAAACAGCTCCATGGTTTAAAAAGTGCTCATCTGCTTACCATGATTTCTGTTACATTGCCATTACCAGTCTTCGTGCTGGAATTGTTCAGGCAAAGCCACTTCATTCCTGCTTTTGCCTCCTGCAGGAGGCAAATTAGACCCCTGAAGTTAACATCTGAAAATGCCACTTAGCCACTTTAAGAGGAAAAACTGCTTAATTTTTAGAAATTTGCAAAGGGTGCCCAGTGAAAGGGAAGGGTTATATACCTGTGTGTAATAATGCCTGTGTATCAGGCCCCTCTGATCTCCTGGCCTCAATTTTGGCCACACAGTCTGCCTGTCACTTTAAAAAGGCTAAGAAGGGAGTTCCTGTCCCCTAACGAAGGCAGCCTGGAAGGGTGTGTGGGAGGTGCATTTTATAGAAGAGAATCTGTAGGAGAGCAAGGTTTCTGGTGCTTTGCACTGGGAACAACAGTGATAGGGTTGGAGAGGGTGGCGCTGCAAACCCCAAGCGTGGAGTGTGCCTGTCTGGGCAGTCAGCTGGAGCTGCTGTGGTAGAGGCCAGTTTGTGGATTCTCCGTAATTCAGAATGTCCTGGGCGGATCTTCCAACCATGCAATAGTTTATTGGGGGGAGGGGGGGAGGCCGGGAGGGACAGGACCGGGCCTGGGCCCCAGGAAGCCCATCTTGGCATCTCTGCCTGGCAGGCTGGAAAGGCCTGGAAATAGTAGACCAGTGATGGGTACAATCAGTCATCCAGGAAAGAGGTGACCGTTGTTTGATGACTGAGGCAGGGATGCAATTGAGAGATAGGAGGAGATGCACCGGCCTGGACGCAGGAAGACCTGAGTTCAAGTCCCACCTTTGAACCTGACTGGCTGTGTGACTCTGGGCTAGACACGTAATTCTCTGAGTGCTCTAGGCCATGCTCTAAGACATTGCTTCTCAAACTTATTGGTCTTAGGACCCGTTTACACTCTTAAAAATTTTCAGTCAAGTCCAACTCTTTGCTTTGTGACCTCATTTCAGGGTTTTCTTGGCAAAGATACTGGAGTGGTTTGCCATTTCCTTCTCCAGCTCATTTTACAGATGAGGAAACTGAGGCAAACAGGGTGAAGTGATTTACTCAGGGTCGCACAGCTAGTAAGTGTCTGCGTCTAATCTGTTACCTTGGCTTATGGATTCTGCCTCCTCAGTATTTCTTGAGTCCATCCCCTTCCTTTTCCATTCACAGTGTGAAACAAAACTGTCTCACATTGAATTTTTAAATAACAGAGAACTAGATCAATGAAGCAGAATAGAGATACCAAATTGGCATCGACGTGTATCTAAAGGTTAGGGTTTGATCAGGCAGGCAGGCGGTGCGCTTGGACTGCCCGCTACATATCAGTCTAAGCTCTGGTGGGGGCTCATCATCTATGCTTTTGTTGGTGTGGATCCCTAGAGTACCTTGAACCTGGAATATTCATATCCCAGGGACCCAGCCTATGACCTTGGTGGCCACCCTGGGCAACACTTAAGTTTTTGCATACCGTATTCTCCCAGTGAACAGAAGTTCTATAGGGGCAGCTAGGTGGTGCAGTGAATAGAGCTCTGGCCTTGGAGTCAGGAAGACCTCAGTTAAAATCCAGCCTCAGACACTTAACACTTACTAGCTTTGTGACACTGGGCAAGTCACTTAACCCTGATCGCCTCACCAAAAAGCAAAAAAAAAAAAAGGAAGTTCTATGACCATACTGATCCATCCATTTAGTCCCTATAGGTCCAGTGAATAGCCTGTTACTGTTCATAGAGCAGGTACTTAAATAGGAAAAAAGGTCTATTTCCATCCCTCAGTCATAGGTGCTATGCTTGTATGTGTCTCTATTATCAGAGGTATGAGTCTAAATCCATTTGCCCAGAATGTAGGTTAAATAATGAATATTTGATCCAGTTTTTATTAAGTAGACCTCCCCGGAGGTTTCCTTAAAGTCCTGACTAAAATCCTACCTTCTACCAGAAACTTCTCCAAATCCCTCTGACTTCTAGTGCCTTCCCTCTTATCCTGTATGTGACTTGTCTGTATATATGTGTTTGCAGGTTATCTCTCCCATCAGAGGGCGAGCTCTCTGAGGGTAGGGACTGGCTTTCGTCTTCTTTTGTATCCCCAGAGCTCAGACTGGCACATAGCGGGCACTCCAAGCGCACCGCCTGCCTGCCTGATCAAACCCTAACCTTTAGATATACGTCGATGCCAATTTGGTATCTCTATTCTGCTTCATTGATCTAGTTCTCTGTTATTTAAAAATTCAATGTGAGACAGTTTTGTTTCACACTGTGAATGGAAAAGGAAGGGGACGGATTCAAGAAATACTGAGGAGGCAGAATCCATAAGCCAAGGTAACAGATTAGACGCTATTAGCTCACAACCGAAATGGCTTAGTGAGAAGAGTGCAACAAAACATCTTCCCCATACACCTGGGGTGTAGTCTCTCACATATACACCTAGCATCTGTGGAGAGAGAGAGTGGCCACATATAGATGTCTTGATATTTTGAGGAAGGAGAGAATGCTAACAGCCAAGGAAAGACTGAGCCTTAAAGGAAAGTAGAATTATTCTCAAGTAGAGGTGAGGAGGGAATGTGTTCAGGCCTGGTAGATAGCCACAGAATTAGAAGATGGAATGAGTGCCTGGTTAATGGGATAGCAAGCAGGTCAGTTTAGCTGGGATACTGATTGTGCTAAGGGACGTAAGTACAATAAGCTGAGAGAGGGAGGCTGGGCCCAGACTGTGGAGGGCTTGAAGCGTAAAGCCGAGGTGTGGAGGATCACTTTATCCCTGGAGGAAGAGAGATCCCCGTAGCTCCTTGAGCAGAGGTGTGACAGGTCCATGCCCCTTGGTAGTGATGTGTAGGATACGTTGGAGTGGCGAGAGACTTGAGGCAAGGGGACTGATTAGAAGGCTGTTGAAGCAGTCCAGGTGAGAGGGCTCAAATTAGGGTGGTCGTCATTTGAGGGGGAAGAAAAGGGTGAATGTGAGATGGCATGGAGGTAGGGTAGTTTATAAATATTTATTAAGCTCCTACTGTGTGTCAGGCACTGTGCTAAGCCCTGGGGATACAAATGTGAGAAAAGAAAGGCACTTCTTGACTTCTAGGAGCTTACAGTCTAAGGAGGGAAGACAGCACCCAAAAGGAAGCGGAAAGGGGGTGGGGGAGGCAGAGGAGTCCCAAGTAGTGTAGCCAGGTGAGAAGCGAGGATTGGGCAGACTCTCCAGGCGTGGAAACAGTTTGGGTTTGGCTGGTTACGAGAGGTGGATGAGGTGAGGATGACTCTGGTCTCGTCAGCCAGCCTGGGTTACTGAAAAGATAGTGGTGGCCTCAGCACAGAAAGGGAAAAGAGGAGGAGAGGTGATGTGAGAGAACACATATGAGTTCTGTTGCCTTTGAGATGCCCTTCTTGGTAGAGACACAGGATGGCCCTTGGGAGTTCAGGGGGGCGATGCCATCTGCCTAGAGATAAGCAGCCTTCTGGTGGCGAAAGGGATCACCAAAGAGAAAGATAGAGTGGCACCCCTAGTGGGCAGGAAATGGAGGCTGATTGTAAGCTCCTTGAGGGCCAGGGATGCCTGTTGTCTTCATTGTGTCCTCTGCGCTTAGCACCGTGTGTGGCACACAGCAGACACTTAATAAATGTGGATTGATGCATGATCCCACAGAAGGGCCTGAAAAGAAACAGTCCCGCGGTGCGAGCAGTTTGTGGAGCCAGAGGCTGTCGCCATTATCTGTCTGTTCTTGCACTGTAGGTAAACGCTAAGTGTCTTGAGGGAAGGACACCTCTATCCCACCCTACTCGCTCTCAGCACCTTGCACAGTGCTAGCCAAATTATAATGCTTGCTCATTGATTAGTGCTTTATAATTAAGTAAGTAAGCTGAGATTATATGTGCGCTCGACTTTCATTGATCACTGTTTGATAAGTAGGTGGAATTATTGTGACAAGAAAATTGTGCTCAGTAACATTAATGTAACTTCTGCCTTGGGATGTTGTGGAGGGTCCCTCAGTGACATCCCTCCAGTGTTTCCCTTCTTTCATCAGTCACACATCTGCCAAAACAAGCCCAGGTCTGACCATGCCCCCAAACTCCTTTTCTCGTTCCCCATTACCTGTATTGTGAAATAGAGAGAGAGGCAGGTCACTGGGGCTGGAGTCAGGAAAACCTGAGTTCAGATGTGGCCTCAGACACTAGCTGTGGGCAAGTCACCTAGCCTCTGTTTGCCTCAGTTTCCTTAGACCTCGCAGGGTTGCTGAGAGGATCAAATGAGATCAGGACCCAGCACTTACCAGATGCTTACTTGTTTTCTTCCTTCCTATAAACTTCCTATCTACACCTCACTCCATCCACAATCTGGCTCCAACAAAATCTGACATCAATAGCAACTGGTCGTGTATTCGTAGAAATGTCAGGAACCTTGAGGGGAAAGTGATACCCCCAGCATAAAGTCTGAGATCTTCCATTTTGACCATTTTCTGGAGTTTTCCACAATTGCTGTCTCCCAGTGGGATGGCTCCCATTCCCACCTCAGGAATCATTATGGAGGTCTGCAAGTGAAGACTTGTTGACTGCTTGTGAGGGGATGTTTCAGAGGGATTCTTAGTCAAGTACTGGTTTGACTAGCTTTCAAAATCCCTTCCAATTCAGTGATTCCAAGAACAACCAAAGAAGGCATTCTGACTTTTGGATTGCTAGGGAGTTTGGGTCTTTCTGTTCAGAAAGTGATTTTTGACTCTTCCATACCACTGGCTCTACGTGCAGAAAACCTTTGGAAACCTTCTAATCCCCAGTGTTTTTCCTTTGTGAGAATCCTCTCCTTCTCCTTTCTTCCTCCCCTTCTCTCCTCCTGCTCTTCTCCTCTTCTCTCATCCTCCTCTCCTCTTCTCCTCTCCTTCTCCCCTCCTCCTCCTCATCTCCTCCTTTCTTCCTCCCCTTCTCCTCCCCTCCTCCTTCTCTTCTCCTCCTCCTCCCATCCTCCTCCTCTCCTTCTCCTTTCTTCCTCCC